TTTTTTTTTTTTTTTTTTTTTTGTTACCATGCCTGAAAATGCGAAATCGCCGTCAGAGCAGAGAGAAAATTCTCCCCCAACTGGTGGCTCTTCCCCGGACCAGGTGTCCAATGATGCCACGACATCTGAAAAACTCTTCGCCAGTGCCTTCGATGCAGAATCAGTCTACAGTGTGGATGAACCAAAGAGCTCACGAGGAAGTCCTGGGAGGCAAACTACTGGGAGTCCAATTCTAGAACATTTCAGAAAAAGCTCTGGTGATGATGCTGAAAATCACAGGTTTGAGTGTTTTGCTTCTATATACATCTTGAATGCTCTCCCACTTTTTCACGTCTTCCCTTGTTCTGCAGAAGCTTTGATGAACCAAGCTGGGGCAATTTTGACAACATTGATGATACTGACTCAGTCTGGGGCTTCAATGCTAAGGCGAGTAGTCTGCAGTATGCTTTCTCTTTTATGTTCATGACGCGCCAAACTTATCATCGCATTTGCTACACGATATGTAAATTGCTTATGAATATTTCAATTGCTTAAGAGGTAACTTCGGAAATGCGAGGATAATTGTTCATGGATTCATTGTGTTAATAGCCACAACTACTATGACATCTCCATTTCTCTTGCACTGTCCGGCAAGATTATATGTAGGAAAGAAAAAGGAAACTAATGACTTCTTGGGGAATTGGCAGCAAAGTGTATTTTTTTTTTCCTGAAAATTGGCATTGTGCATCTTTTGTTGTTACTTCATTTGCTTTTAATTAATTAATTTAGTGAATCAAGTACAATATATACCCTGACAGGAGGTTTAGCCTAATAACCAGTTACCTAAGAAAATACTAATCTTCTGAAATTACAAGCATCCCATTAACATTTATTTCTGTTTCACCAGTTGCATTCTTGAGAGGGGATTTGTTCAGTAAATACGAACTTCGAGTGGCCAATGGTAATTTTGAAATATGACTGGATCCTTTTCTCCATTTTTTGGGTCATCTAATTTCTTGTGTACTTACCATCAATTACCATTTACCTTCAGGACCCGGATGCTGAGAAGCACGACGAGAAATATTTCTTTGGGTCTAATGGCTTCGGGACCATCTCAGATGCAAACGGCTCACCTCACACAGGCGGTGGATTCCCAAAAACCAATATGTTCTACTTTGAAGATTCTGTTCCTGGGACCCCACGTTCCCGGGCCGACAATTTTTTGACAGCTTTTCTAGATATGATTCATTTAGCACTCATGATCGTGGCTCTTCCCCTCGTCAGGAAAATTTTAGTAGGTTCGACTCAGTGAGCAGCACAAGGGGTTTCGAACACAGCAGCAACTATTCTTTTGATGACAATGACCCATTTGGTTCCAGTGGTCCGTTTAAGGTTTCGTCCGAAACATCGCCGAGGGAAAATTTTTGAGAAGTAAATGCTTTTAGACCGGCAGTATATCTCTATCTCTATCTCTATCTCTATCTCTACTAACTTAAAAGTGTGAATGTTTTTGTAAAAATTTGGATAGACAAAATTACCTATACTTTTTTTATTTTTTGATGGCTTAATTGTTATTTGTTAGGAGTCCATTTAATGAGAGACTAGAGAGTAGTAATTGTTTATTAATTATATAAACATTTCTTTTCATTTTATATTTTGGGTAATTTTTATAATAACAATTTAATTTTTACTTATAATTTTTTTATAAGTTATTAATTACTTCGTAATTTTTAATGGCTTAACATTTTGCTAACTTTTTAATTTTCTCCAATAAATTTTGGGTGGAAAAATTCCTTACAAAAATAATTCACTTGCTTTTGTGTCAATAAAAAACACGCGCGAATGAAAAATAAACGACTAAAGTGCAAAAAGCTTGTGAAACGCTTAACTAATACTAGCTTATTCACCCATACAACACACAAATTGTAATACCATAATAAAATGATGTATTATTAAATAATATTTTATTATATTTTCATAATAACAATTTGATATTTAACTTATATAATTTGAAAAGTTATTAATTACTTCTACACTTTAATTTATAAAATTATATATTGTTATTTTTTATATTTACTTTGAGCAGATAATACGCCTATGATTTATGAGCGCCATTAGTTTTTCATTTTAATGTCATTTTTCATTTTAATGTCATGTAATTGATATTTGAAATAGTTATTTATCTCTTTTAACATTTTTGTATTTATTTTCAACATAATGTTTTTCAAACTA